CCATTGAAGGAAAGAAACTGTGCTGGACTGTCACAAATTACAACAAAACTTGAAAGTCTTATTATCACTTTATCCACTTGCCAGAGCAACGATGCTCTATCAATTACTGATGTCATGGCTTCTTGTTGTTGTTCAGTTGTTTAGTTGTATCCGACTCTTGGTGACCCCATGGACCAGAGCACACTAGGCACTCCTGTCTTCCCCTGCCTCCCGCAGTTTGGTCAAACTCATGCTGGTAGCTTCGAGAACACTGTCCCACCATCTCATCCTCCATTGTCCCCTTCTCCTTGTGCCCTTCATCTTTCCCAACATCAGGGTCTTTTCCAGGCAGTCTTCTCTTCTCATGAGATGGCCAAAGTATTGGAGCTTCAGCTTCAGGATCTGTCCTTCCAGTGAGCACTCAGGGCTGATTTCCTTCAGAATGGATCAGTTTGATCTTCTTGCAGTCCATGGGACTCTCAAGAGTCTCCTCCAGCACCATAATTCAAAAGCATCAATTCTTTGGTGATCAGCCTTCTTTCTGGTCCAGCTCTCACTTCCATACATCACTACTGGGAAAACCATAACTTTAACTATATGGACCTTTGTTGGCAAGGTGATGTCTCTGCTTTTTAAGATACTGTCTAGGTTTCTTACTCTGAAGTAAAGGCTTCTTACTCTGAAGTAAAGTCCCAGAGTTGTGCTCCCTCACTTCAGTCCTGTGCCACTATCCTAGTGGTTCTAAAGCAGTATTTGGAGTTGGGACATTATTCCTTTGACCCTTCATCCTGCTTCATCCTTGAACTTGGTCGGGATTTTTGCTGTTACTGCTGCTTTTTGAAATATCTGGAATCAACCTGCATAACTGTATTGCTTCAGAACGGCAGAGTCCAAATAGAGGAGTGTTGTTGCTTTTTATGTGGACAACTTGTGTGGGTGGCAAAAAAGCAGAAACCCACAGACAGCACAGGAGGGGAAAAAATCACAACTAATACCTATGGACAACATCTTGGGGCTTGAAACAGTCTACTGCAATGGACATGTAATTGTGCTAATATTTCAAAAATAAAGAAGATACAGAAGTTGGTATAAGTCCTGGGAAGACACAAGGAACTTGATTTCCCACTTACCTTAGGGTCAGTTCACATATCCATGTTCACCATGCATTGATAATAATAATAATAATAATAATAATAATAATAATAATAATTTATTATTTATAACCCGCCCATCTGGCTGAGTTTCCTCAGCCACTCTGACTACATGTGTGAATGAGCCATTATTACAGATTAATACATGTGTGAATGATTAATACATGTGTGAATGATTAATACATGTGTGAATGGGAGTACATGTGTGAATGAGCCATTATTACAGATTAATCATATCAGGCAGAAATTTCCTATCATCTGATGTCAACACAAACACAAAACTTTTCCTATGGTCCAGTTCCACACAGCTGCCGATCAAGTGCTAAGTGATCAGGTGATAAACAGGTATGTGTGAACTGGCCCTTAGGATCGCTCTCTTAGCAAGTGCCTCGCCTGTGTGAAGAGCAAAACCTACAGCTTCTAAAACTATGTTTCAGAGGTGACAACAGCCTTATATGTTAGCTGCCGAAGCAATGTTGCAATCCCAATATTAGAACTGTAAATATACATATTAACAGTAATTTATTTAATGCAGAGAACAGTGTGACTATGTATTTGGTTATGCAACAAATGACACAATTTCCCCAAAGCTATGAATTCGAGGACAATTGTCTATGTTTCAAAATTAGCTGGACTGTCTTTTCAAAACTGACCTTACACCGAAAAGTTTTGGAATCGTTTCTGATGAAAAATGTATAATATTGTTCTTATCATTTTCCAGTCCTCCTGAATTTTAACTTCCATGCTCATAGCGGTAAATATCTATCTCTATGTGCACGTGTTTGTAGTTGCAATATTCAACCATTGCAAAAACAAAATTTCTATCGTGCATTTCCTCTTTTATGAGCTGATCTGTGGATGCAATTGTTTAAATGAATTCTTTTCTCTCACCAGTCTTTTCCTAGCGTCTTGAAAAAAAATTGCATCTCCCTCCAAGAATTCATGGAGTGGATTTGTATGGTAAAGGGGGTATTGAGAGAATAAAACTACTAACACGAGGCATCTGAAAATTAAGCCTCCTTCTGGACCCTCCTGTCTGCCTAGCAAGACAGCAAGGAAAAGAAAAGCACACATTTGACTAGAGCCGAGTTGCCAGTCCTTGGCTACCCCCTGCTGGGCGTGAGGTCCCAGGCCTTTGTACACCATTAAGCATAAACCGTAAGTCATAGGATAAAATATAAAGCCATCATTATCACTATTCCTAAAGGAGTCTGGATTCTCAATTCTTAACAGGGCTAAATAATGAAAGGCAGCGGGGCAGTCAGAGATTAAATAAACAGATATCAAACTATCAGTAATAGTTTATTTAGAGTATTCATTGGTTTGTTACAGAATTCCCCAAAGCCCATAAGCAAAGATACATATGAGAGAGAGAGAGAGAGAGAGGAGGATATGATGTCTTAATACTAGTTACCAAATTAAACAAACAAACAAACAAACAACAACAAATTTGCTACAAATTTATCTGGTAGAGGGGAGATGGCGGTAGTAAATCTGCAGGTAAATTTTTAGGGAATTCTTTCATGCAGTTTAATCCACCCATTTTTGAGAGATATTCAGTAGCCAGCATACATTTGGCAGTACTCTTAAAATACAGAAAAGAAACTCTTTACTCTAAAGGTTTTGTTGAGTAGTATGAAAGAGAAAATTTCTTTCCAGATGTGACCAAACTACTATCAAGTTCCTAATATATATATGAAAACGTCTGTGAGTGTGAAGGAACAACTTGCTATAAAATATAAGCCAGCTGTATGTGTCTAGGCTCGGGAATCTAAACAAAAGGGAGGAGCCTTGCAGCTATTTTGCCAATGGTCTAAGGCGCTTTGCCATCATCATGAAATTTCAGTACTAAATATTTTCCCCATTCTGTTTATTTTGCATGCTAAGCAGAAAATAAATGAACAGTTGAACTATATAAACAAAGTCTTAATATTCAGTCAAAGGGCTCCCAGTTAGGCAAGGATCTGTTTATATTTATTTATATTTATGTTTATATTTAACGCAGGAAGGATAAAGAAACAATGTTAGAAATGCATCCCTCAGAAACATTTATTGTCACCAAAAGGGAATCATGAAATACCGTATTTTTTTGCTCTATAAGACTCACTTTTTCCCTCCTAAAAAGTAAGGGGAAATGTGTGTGCGTCTTATGGAGCGAATGCAGGCAGCACAGCTATCCCAGAAGCCAGAACAGCAAGAGGGATTGCTGCTTTCCCTCTTGCTGTTCTGGCTTCTGAGATTCAGATTTTTTTTTCTTGTTTTCCTTCTCCAAAAACTAGGTGCGTCTTGTGGTCTGGTGCGTCTTATAGAGCGAAAAATACGGTATATCTACCAACAAATTAATAAGCAGCACAGTTAGCCTCCAAACATCTGCATGGGGAAGGAGGGAATGAACACAAACCTTTTCCTTGTAAACAGAGAGAAGGAAAGAAAGTGTTTATAACAAACAGAGGTATAAAAAGGATCATATTGCAGTTCTCTGTAAGCGAAAATAAAGATGCTTACAATTTATATTGGTTGTGTACCAGCTTAACTACTTTGGCACATGAAAGAATTCTGGGAATTATAAGTAAGCAACAGAGTAAAACTACGTACGCCTATCCTGTTTGAATCCTGGAAGCCAAGGCCCATGTTTCGTGCAATTGCTCTTCAGTGAGAGAACTCCAGCTGAGATTTAGCAATGCGAAACATACGGCAAAGAAGAGTGTGGAAATAGAGACTGTAAAACTCTTAAAATGTGACCTTTCAGTGAGCCCCCAAAATGTCCTCTTTTAAAAGCTCTTTCCCTAGCACAGAGACAGATCACACATTTGGTAAGCCATCAAATGATTTACTTCCAAAACTCTTCAAAGGTCAGATTCATGTGCTTTCCCATGCAGCAGTCAAGAAAGATGCGCTGGCAGCTAAAATGTCGCTTAGTTACAAAAGGTAAAAGTTTTTAATCATCGGTAGAGAAAAATGCTAGTTTCAGACCCCGTTCTGGTCTGAAACAAACGAGGCTTGTTAAAGCCATGTGCTGGAGCAATCAATTCAGAGTTCCTTACATACTGAAGCCCACATGGAGAATGAATGGCAACAAAGGCTTGGTGACCCGTTACCTCTCAAGGTGGGAAATGTTGACATAGGTTAAGCCCAGCAGGACAACTTTATGGTATAATACAGGCATAGGCAACCTCAGCCCTCCAGATGTTTTGGGACCACAACTCCCATCATCCCTAGCTAACAGGACCAGTGGTCAGGGATGATGGGAGTTGTAGTCCCAAAACATCTGAAGAGCCAAGTTTGCCTATGCCTGGTTTAATACCTTCATGCACTAATTAGATTCAAACATGCTTGAGATGTATGAGGCTGGAACCCTACATATGTTTATATGCAAAACATTTATCACTGGTAAAAATGGACACTCTCTTCCTGATATCTGATACATGCTTACTTGAGAGTAAACCTCACTGAACTGAGCATGATTTCTGTTCTCATCCTGAAGCAAAGATCTTAGCGCAAGGTACTATTTCTGGGTTAGCGGAGTCTGTAACCTGAAGAGTATGTAACACGAGGTACCACTGTACATAGGTCTCCCCCCTCTTCATTTAATCCCCCCTCCCCAACAAGTTATATATAGTGGTACCTCGGATTACAGATGCTTCAGGTTACAGACTCCGCTAACCCAGAAATATTACCTCGGGTTAAGAACTTTGCTTCAGGATGAGAACAGAAATCGTGCTCCGGCGGCAGCGGGAGGCCCCATTAGCTAAAGTGGTGCTTCAGGTTAAGAACAGTTTCAGGTTAAGTATGGACCTCCGGAACGAATTCCCCATTCCTCCTACAATCCCCACAACAACCCTGTGGGGCTAAGAAATTGTGTGAGCTTCATGGCTGAGCAGGGATTTGAACCCTGGTCTCCCAAGTCCTAGTTCAACACCCTAACCATTACATCACACCGACTTTTAAACAGGAAACGCACAATCAAATCAGCACCATACTTGCAAACAGGACTTTTTCTCAGCCGGAACTCACTGGGACTCAGTTCTGGCACCTCTCAGGTGGGGGCCTTTGCCATTCTAAGAGAACAAGGGAGGTGTTTGTGGTGAGTTTCTTTTTTTAGAAAAATAGCACTGCTTGTAAATAAAGTAAATTTGGTGAATATATTTGACAGCAAAGGTAATCCACAAAAGCAAACCAAGTCCCCAGACAGATACAGAGTCCTATCAGCAAAGGCCTCTCCAGTATGGTGACAGAAAGTTCGGCCATTATACTGCCAGCAGGGATCAGTAGACAGGGGCCCCCAAAATGGGGAAGACGCAGAGCCCTCTCTTTCCCTTGACACACTGAAGGAAACCCATTCCTTCAACACCCTTAAAGGTAAAGGTACCCCCTGACTGTTAAGTCTAGTTGCAGACGACTCTGGGGTTGCAGCGCTCATCTCACTCTACTGGTCAAGGGAGCCAGCGTTTGTCCACAGACAGCTTTCCGGGTCATGTGGCCAGCATGACTAAACTGCTTCTGGTGCAACAGGACACCGTGACAGAAGCCAGAGCACACGAAAACACCATTTACCTTCCCGCTGGAGCGGTACCTATTTATCTACTTGCACTTGATGTGCTTTCGAACTGCTAGGTTGGCAGGAGCAGGGAGCAAGCAACGGGAGCTCACCCCGTCGCAGGGATTCAAACCACCAGCCTTCTGATCGGCAAGTCCTAGGCTCTGTGGTTTAACCCACACCGCCACCTACGTCCCTGACACACCCTTAGAAAGGCCAAGAAGCATGCCAGCCCTGCTGATATTTGTATCAATGGGAGGGATTTTATTTTATTTTGTTAAGGCTGAATGTTGGGGTGGGCGCGCTAGAAAATCTCCCCACCTTCTGCCTTGGCTAGACAGAGCCGGCAGGGCTGAGCAAGTGATGCTTTCTCCACTACAGCATCTTTCTGCACCATCACTTAAGGGTTGCTCTGCTAATATATAAAAATATCACTCCATAATCCATAATCCCCTGCTGTGGTTTCCTAAGCTTGAGACTTCCATTTTTTATTAATCACTTTCATGCCTCTTAGCTTCTCTTATTCTTTTTTTACCACTTTTGCCTCTTCTCCTTGATCCAGTTGTCAAGTCTGAGCAGTAGGGCTTTCGATTCATAATAGCGCTTAGTTAATTAATCATCTAGCTTTTGATCAACAAATTAAAATAAATTGGCCTATTACCAAGGTGCCTTTTGACGTTATTGGAGGAACGGCAAAGTTTTTGTTATGACTGAGCAAATTTTACCAAAAAAAGAAGCAGCAGCAGCTATTGTTCAGCTTTAGAAGAAAAGTCTGTCTTTTAACATTTTCTTTTGTAGCAGAATATCCCTTGTTGCAGAATATTATTGCTGTGATGGAGGTGGTGGGACAACAAGAGACCCTCCCTAGATTCTGAAGTGTGTGATAACTACCGCCTGGTCACAAATATGTTTGGGAAAGTGGTGACTATCCAGCTTTAGAGATGCTAGGAAAAAGCAGATTATGGTGGCGCTGTGGTCTAAACCACCAAGCCTCTTGTACTTGCAGATCAGAAGGTCGGTGGTTCAAATCCCTGCGACGGGGTGAGCTCCTGTTGCTCTGTCCCAGCTCCTGCCAACCTAGCAGTTCGAAAGCATACCAGTAGATAAATAGGTATCACTGTGGCGGGAAGGTAAATGGCATTTCCGTGTGCTCTGGCTTCCATCACGGTGTTCTGTTGTACCAGAAGCAGTTTAGCCACATGACCCGGAAAGCTGTCTGTGGACAAATGCCAGCTCTCTCGGCCTGAAAGCAAGATGAGCACTGCACCCCATAGTCAAAGTTTGACTGGACTTAACCACCCAGGGTTCCTTTACCTTTACCTTATCTAGACCACAGTCAGTGGTAGCTTCATACTGGATTTGGCAATGAAACAGCTGGTTGATGAAATCTGGTAGGAGGTAGATAAAGGAGAATGTGACCCTGTTTATTCTCCTTGATCTTTTGGCAGCCTTGGATACCATTTACCAAGTTATCCTTCTTGAAACGTTTTGTAGCTTGGGAGTTGGAGATATTCTGATATGGTGGTTCTGCTGGCATGGAGTCTGCTTGCATTCATTTATTTAGCCTGCTCTTCAGCCAAAAAGGAGCAGCTTAAAGAAGATGATTTAGAATTGCCAAGTGTCCTGCTTTACGGAAGACAGTCCACTGTTTGAAGTGCTGTTAGAGGACAGTCTTCTGTTTGAAGGAGACCCCTTTTTGAAGAGCTGCTTGGTCAAAATCTGTTATAAAGAGAGAGAAACTTAAGGAGGAGAAACAGACACCTTGAAGTTGTCCCTTACTGGTTAGCAGCTGGACAGCACACTACGCAGAAGCACAGGCCACCAACAGCCAAGGCTTCTCCACCGTAATGACATCTTTTGTATTTCTATTTAAATTATAGCAGTTTCTAAATTACATATGAGTATATCCATATAAGTGAGTATATGCAAATATTGTGCAACTCTGTATCCTCTTTTTTTGGTTATGCATCAGAAACCATTCTAAGAGCAATAAAAAGAAGACAAACTTCAGGAGCCACGTTGGCCTGAAGAGCCCTCTCTCCCCCCACAAAAAAACCCCCCAGGAAATAAAAAGAGATTTTTTGTTACCCAATGCTCCATTTTACTTTTAGTTTTCTGACATGGGAGATGAAAGTTTTCTTTTAAAAAGAAAAATCCAGGAAGGCTTAAGCAGGAGCTATATAAAATGAATTACGAACCATCTGGCCTCGCTCGAGGGATCAGATTATACCACTACCTGGAATAGTCTAGCAAACAAACAAACAACAATTATGAAGAATAATTCAAGCAAGGGGAGCGAAGGAGAAGCCTGCTTACTGGGAGAGAACAGTCTTTGCGAGACGAAGGTTCCCGCTCCAACACATTGTGTTCAGCAATGCTCCTGTACATGCTCCTACATAGTTTCTGTACATGTTCCTACATAGGGTCTGTACATGGAGCTCAAGGCTCTGTGTTTATGGTTTGTGCACATGCAGTCTCTGTGAGAAGGTCTCAACACGATAAGGGGCAGAGGGCAGGGCCAGCAGATGCAGTCCCACCCTGCCTTGCACACCCTCAGTCTCTTCCAAGGCAACGCTGGCAATAATAATAATAATAATAATAATTTATTTATACCCCACCCATCTGGCTGGGCTTCCCCAGCAACTCTGGGCGGCTTCCAACAAAATATTAAAATACAGAAATGCATCAAACATTAAAAGCTCCCCTAAACAGTTCCACAGTAAAAGCACAGTCAGTGGAAGTTATGAGGTAGCTCCTTCCAGGAGATACCAGCCCGTAACGTTCTGGTTTTGGATGTGGATTGTAACAGGAATATTCATCTATGGCGATTTTGTCTTGTCCTGCTGCAATTTGGTTTCACACATACTTGGAACCACCAACATTTTCCTTGTACTTGAATGCTTGATGTGGCTGGGGAAGCCCAGCCAGATGGGCGGGGTAGAAATAATTTATTATTATTATTATTATTATTATTATTATTAGATAAACAAAGAAGGATTTGGGTGGCTTAGCCAACAGCATCTCTGTAAGGAGAGGTCATAGCACAGCGGTTGACTGCAAGTGTTTATGTTCACAAGGTTCCCCAATGCACTTTTGGATATCTCCAGTTGAAAAGAAGTTTGTTCTCAGGTGGGTGGAGAAGCCTTCTTCCTGATTTCTCAAGAGTGATGCTGCCATAGACATTGTGAGGCTGCGGGGGAGAGAATGGGGGAGAGAGGGAGGGAGAAAGAAGGCAGGCAATGATCTTTTTATTCTTTTGCTTATGACTACAGTGTCTCACAAGGGATGCGGGTGGCGCTGTGGGTAAAACCTCAGCGCCTAGGACTTGCCGATCGCATGGTCGGCGGTTCGAATCCCCGCGGCGGGGTGCGCTCCCGTTGCTCAGTCCCAGCGCCTGCCAACCTAGCAGTTCGAAAGCACCCCCGGGTGCAAGTAGATAAATAGGGACCGCTTACTAGCGGGAGGGTAAACGGCGTTTCCGTGTGCGGCTCTGGCTTGCCAGAGCAGCTTCGTCACGCTGGCCACGTGACCCAGAAGTGTCTGCGGACAGCGCTGGCTCCCGGCCTCTAGAGTGAGATGAGCGCACAATCCTAGAGTCTGTCAAGACTGGCCCGTACGGGCAGGGGTACCTTTACCTTTACCTTACAGTGTCTCACACCGAATGTAACTGACCTGTAGGAAGGACTCTATGAATTGAAAACAGAGGTGTTATATGTACCCTTGTTATCTATGAAAATTCTTTAATAAAAACTTTTTTTTAAAAAAAGAGTGATGCTGTCCATTGGACTTGAGAGTATTTAGCTAATTCACAGCTAATTTCCTCCAGAAATACCCTGCCTGCAGTGGTCATGTGCATTTTACTGGTCAATAGTACAAACAACAATAATCGTAATAATAACCTTGAAGACAACAACACTTCTTTGACTTCCACGCAATGAGGTTTCATGGTGAGGCTTTTTCTTATAGACTGGAATGGCAGTCTTTAAAGTCATGCAACGGCAGCAAGACACACTAAAAAGATAGTGCTCTTTCATATCTTGACATTTGCTGATGATTTTTTTTCTTCTTAAGCTACACATTTGTAATTCCACCAGGAGAACTATTTCTATTGACACAGGAACAGAAGAGTAAATTTTAACCTTAAAAAATTTCACAAAGCAGATGTCTTTTCGTATGAGAATTGGTATATTTTTACCCTCTGAATGATCTCTGCTTTTATATGCCTAATTAAATTTTAGAGGTCCCTTGCTTAAATAAAGATTTATTAGCTGTTAAAATCGTAGCATAATTCTTCTACCACCTACATGCTATCCTTTAACATATTTACAAGCATAAAGGCTTATCCACTATAAAAACGTGGATGATTTAATGTTGTTATGTTATTGGTGTCAATTACTAAAATTCAGGCCCACAATAGACCTTTCTGAAGACACTATTACTTAACTCTAGGATTGTCAGAACTCCTTAAAGAAAAAATACTCTGAATTTTGAAGAATGAATTCCTCAAAAGAAATGAACAGGGGCATTGGTGTTAAAAACAAGGTCCTACAGAGGTAACTGCCTATGTTGTATTTTCTGAGAACAGAGCCTCTGAACAGAAAAATTGGGATGGAAGTTGTAGAATAATAGAAAGGTAGTCCTTTATACATCAAAACTGTAAACTTTCAGATTACAGTGGTACCTTGGGTTAAGAACTTAATTCGTTCTGGAGGTCCGTTCTTAACCTGAAACTGTTCTTAACCTGAAGACCACTTTAGCTAATGGGGCCTCCTGCTGCTGCCGCGCCACCAGAGCATGATTTCTGTTCTCATCCTGAAGCAAAGTTCTTAACCCGAGGTAATATTTCTGGGTTAGTGGAGTCTGTAACCTGAAGCGTATGTAACCTGAAGCGTATGTAACCTGAAGCATATGTAACCCAAGGTACCACTGTATAAAGGTAGTCCTTTATACATTAAAACTGTAAACTTTCAGATTATCTACTTATTGTTAGTCATCATCATCAACAGAAAGAAAAATATTACATGACAGCAGAGGTGGGAAAACTTTGTCCTTCCAGGTGATGCTAGACTACAACTCCCATCGTCCATAACCATTGGCTGTGCTGACTGGGCTGAGGGGAGTTAAAGTCCAACAACATCTGGAGCGTCAAAGGTCCTCCACTCCTGGATTACAACATGAAGCATAATAGGTACAATATAACATAACCCCAAACAACAAGTCCATTCATTCCTAGAAATAAGTGTTTTAATTATATTTTATCCCTAACTCTTAACATAGCTCAGGATAGGATTTAATCCTGACATTGATCATGTGGCATAAAGATGTGTGGGTCTGTGCATGTGTGAGAGAGGACGTGGCTCAAGGTCGCCCCGTGAGCTTCATGGCTGAACCTACATCTCCTCAGGTCTGGTTCCATACTATCAAACATACTCCCCAATGACTTACTGGTATGTGGTTAATGTGGACTTTTGTTTAAAGGCCAAGTCCCATCAAAATCTAATTTAGAGAAATGAGTGTGCAACAGAATGGGACACATGTCATCTTATGCACTTGTCATCTCATGACGCTTCGGCAAACAGGTGGAGGCTGGAGAAATAGCAGCAGCAACAACAACATTGGGTGGCTTCCAACATACATTAAAAGTAAAGGTAAAGGACCCCTGACAGTTAAGTCCAGTCACGAGTGGCTCTGGGGTTGCGGCGCTCATCTCGCTTTACTGGCCGAGGGAGCCGGCGTTTGTCCACAGACAGTTTTTCCGGGTCATGTGACCAGCATGACTAAGCCGCTTCTGGAAACCAGAGCAACGCATGGAAACACTGTTTACCTTCCCACCGGAGCGGTACCTATTTATCTACTTGCACTTTGATGTGCTTTTGAACTGTTAGGTTGGCAGGAGCTGGGACCAAGCAACGGGAGCTCACCCTGTCATGGGGATTCGAACCGCCGACCTTCTGATTGGCAAGCCCAAGCTCATTGGTTTAGACCACAGCGCCACCCGCATCACACCCCAACTTACATTAAAATATAATAAAACATTAAACATTAAAAAACTTTCCTATACATCAAAAAACTTTCAAAATGTTGTTTTCCAAAGGTTGTATAGTTGTTTATCTCCTTAACATCTGATGGGAGGGCATTCCACAGGGTGGGTGCCACTACCAAGAAGGCCCTCTGTCTGGTTCCCTGTAACTTTGCTTCTCGAAGGGAGGGAACCGCCAGAAGGCTCTTGGAGCTGGACCTCAGTCTCCGGGCTGAATGATGGGGGTGGAGATGCTCTTTTAGGTTTACTGGGCCGAGGCTGTTTATGGTTTTAAAGGTCAGCACCAACACTCAGATACTCAGGGATACTCTGTTTGTGCGCACACAGCCTGGACCCTACATGTGGGAGATGTTCTATGGCAGACATGCATGTTCTTCTCTGCAGAAAAGTCAGGCATCAGGTTCCTTCCATGTCCTGATTTCTTCTTGTTGAGGAAAAGCAAATTCTTCTATCTATAGGTTTCCCACGCCCCCCACTTAAGATCCATGATCAATACTAAAAATAAAATTATATAACCATCTGTTATTCTAAAATCCCCCCTACACTCTGATCATGTTTTAAATAAGTTAGAAGAAGACAAAATACTAGATAAATTTTATTCTTGCAAGACACAAATAGTGAATGGTTAAAATACTTCTTATTTAATAATTGCTGTTCTTCATTAGTGTGAACCAAAGGCATAGTCTATCCAAGACAATAACATCTGCACCCCATATTTCATTATCACCAAACTTCACATTTCACACAAAAGCAATAGCTAGCAAAGCCTTACAGCTTTAATTAGTTTCTACCATAGCTGTGAAGGTCAGCCAATTATTGTGTGTGAAATTTCAATATGAAGCAGCTGAATTGAAGACAGCATTGCAACATTGTGAAATTTTGTAGTGCTGTAAATCTAGCATGATAGAACCTCTTTTTTTAACACAAAACAACAAATTAATCACCAGGTATGCAGAACTTCAAGGCTTACTGACTAATTTAACATGTGTTAGTACATGAAAAAAGGAATTGATAATTTTGGATGCTTTCTTATGTGCTTTCACATTATGCTGTCACAAACTATGACATAATACTTAAAAGATGGAACCACATTTTTTATTCTTATGAAACTCAACAATCCATGATTATTTCTTTCAAGGCACCCCCCAGCTCATTTTACAATGTTATTAATTACTTCCAAACCTATTGTCATTTTCAAGAATGTAGCAATCTTTTCTGGGGGAATTCTGGTAGATCCTTCTTTGTAGTGGCTTTGAGAAGAGATTAAACAACCTTCCGATGATGTTGGTGTAGTGAGTCCCATCAGTGCCTGAGTACTGAGTACCACAACCTTAAGCGTGTCTGTTGAGAATATCAAATATTAAGCAGCACCATCATTTGTTCAGTTCTATGATTTGTTCTGAAAATAGTGGGATAAAATCTTTTAAAAAATAATTTTGTGTGTGTGTGTGTGTGTAAATAGCTAATAGTGTGGTAAAAGGCAGACTCAACTTCCATCATTACTGCTAAAGGAAATTATTGCATCACATGTAAAAATGTTGAAAACAAGTCAGATGACACAGCTAGTTCTGATACTCACCAATTCATTTCAGTTATATGATTATGTAAGTAAAGGTAAAGGGACCCCTGACCATTAGGTCCAGTCGTGGCCGACTCTGGGGTTGCGGCGCTCATCTCGCTTTATTGGCCGAGGGAGCTGGCGTACAGCTTCCTGGTCATGTGGCCAGCATGACTAAGCCGCTTCTGGCAAACCAGAGCAGCACACGGAAACGTCGTTTACCTTCCCGCCAAAGCGGTACCTATTTATCTACTTGCACTTTGATGTGCTTTCGAACTGCTAGGTTGGCAGGAGCAGGGACCGAGCAATGGGAGCTCACCCCATCGTGGGGATTCGAACCGCCGACCTTCTGATCAGCAAGTCCTAGGCTCTGTGGTTTAACCCACAGCGCCACCCACATCCCTACATATGATTATGTCCCTACATATGATTATGTAGCTGTTGCCAAAGCCTTCAGACCCATGTCTCATTCACCTTTTTCCCTTAGGAATGCCCATTGCTGCAAAATTCAGAATATCATTATGTCATCATTATGTTACAGAGTTCTACTCCCTCCCTCTCAGCTTTTGTTGCTGATGCTTGTGTGGAGAAGAGAGAACAAGGCACTGTCAGAGTAGTGAAGCAGACTGAAACTTGCCTTAACCCAGTGCTTTTTTCTGGGGGGACACAGGGGTACGCATACCCCTAAACATTTTGTGAATCTAAGTTTGGCCTCATTGAGGGGGCAGTATTTCATTGTGAGTAGGAAAATGAGAGTAACCCTAAACATTTTTTTAAAATAAAAAAGCACTGTGTGAACCCAAAAGAACTGCAAGAATCTGTAGCCTTCAGAAATGGACTTTAAAAACTAGTTTATCTAAGGGATAACCTGAGATGTTTAGATTTAGAGAACTGTGGGCCTATTAGAGTTGATCGGCCATGCCTTGTTTCACTTTGTCAATTAAATGCACATTCAGCAGAGGCTAAGCTAAATCAAATGTAGGGTAAGCACCCATACATACCCCTATTAAGACAGCATGAATACTATACAAACGCACCTCTCAGCAATTAAATGCATTTTTGGAGGGTTGCCATTGGTCACACATTCTCTCAGAAGCATCAGCACAAAGCACCAGTCCTTTAAAGACACCTGAGAGGGTCTATGTGTCAGAAAGCCACAGCAGCATAAATTGGCTGCCCTGAAATTCTCTCTCTTTCCCAGCTCTGCTAGTGGCTGAGTTCCAAGGACATTAGTTTTCAGGAAGAGAGTCCCTTTCTCCATCAAAAACATCCAAGACAAGTTCTCTTACAGGGGAACTTGCCAAGAGCAGCTGCTTCCACCCAAAGAGTCTCTCTCAGGAGAAAAGCATGTTCTCAAAACCAGCCATGCTTTGAAACGTGCCATCACACCCCCATTGACGAGTCCCCTGCAAAACGGCCTTTTTCCAGGGAGCAACACATGAAAAAAGTTCCCTCGCAGCCGCTCGCCTTTCCAAAGGGAGCAGTTGTACATTAAACCACTGAATAATTCCAGACTGAAAGATAAAATATTTAAGACTGAAATATCCTCTAACTTTTTACAGTTTCCAAGTCAGCTGCCTTCAGAGCTCACAAGATCACAAGCACTTGCCAAGGAGGATCAAGCCAAAGCGCATGATGATACAGAAACATGGAAAACCATGCGTGGTAAACCAGTTGAGAATTCAAAATGTAGCAAGTGCAGGAGGCAATGGAGCTGCTCAAATGTCAAGTGGGAGCAAGTTCTTCATGGTGCCATGATCTAATTGGGCAATCTGACTGACAGGATGTAGAGCACAGAATGAAAGAACAGGAGCTGCCATACTGAAACATAAATATGAACCACTAGTGAGCAAAAATAAGGGCCCAAAAATGTCACAAGGATTAAAGAAGAGACTCCTCAGAACTCTAGAGACTTCTCAGAAGGTGGCATCCATGAAAGTGACCATGGCAAGATGGCATCCATGAAAGGGGAATGGAGAAGAAGAGGACACATCTTGTCCCTGGCTACGGGTAATCTTTATAACATTTATAGAGTGCCTAAAATTTTCTGAGCACTGTACAGATGGCAAAAGATTAGGCAGTCCATGCTTCAAGCTCACCATATACTAGACAATACAAAAGCAAAAGGGAAATGGGATGTAAACACAAGAGTAGCTGCTCCATCTCTGGCCAGTGGGTGAGATCAAGTTGTTTTTCACTGGAGTCAGAACATCACAATCTCCATTGGTCCTTCCTGCCCTGGCTGATGGCAGTGGCCAGAGAGTGTAAGAGGGAGCCCTGCATACTTCTAACAATAGGAAAACATGGTAATGTAATTCCATTCTTAGCTGAAACGAGCCAGAAGCATCTTATGGAAATGATCCAATTTCACATCTGCCCAACTGTTTTACCTTCTACTTTGGGGCACCAGAGAACATGCAAACTCCACGAACAAACCTCAGAGCAGCATTCTTGCAGGTACTCGTAAGGATAGCTCATATGGGAAGAGAATGGCACTAACAGAATAGCATTCATTGGGACTTGACATTTGCTACATGCAGATGGTGACGGCAGTCATGAAATTAAAAGACGCCTGCTTCTTGGGGGAAAAGCAATGACAAACCTAGACAGCATCTTAAAAAGCAGAGACATCACCTTGCCAACAAAGGTCCGTATAGTTAAAACTATGGTTTTCCCAGTAGTGATGTATGGAAGTGAGAGCTGAACCATAAAGAAGGCTGATCGCTGAAGAATTTATGCTTTTGAATTCTGGTGCAGGAGGAGACTCTTGAGAGTCCCATGGACTGCAAGAAGATCAAACCGATCCATTCTGAAGGAAATCAGCCCTGAGTGCTCACTGGAAGGACAGATCCTGAAGCTGAGGCTCCAAAACTTTGGCCACCTCATGAGAAGAGAAGACTCCCTGGAAAAGACCCTGATGTTGGGAAAGATTGAGGGCACAAGGAGAAGAGGATGACAGAGGATGAGATGGATGGACAGTGTTCTCGAAGCTACCAGCATGAGTTTAACCAAACTGCGGGAGGCAGTGGAAGACAGGAGTGCCTGGCGTGCTCTGGTCAAAGGGGTCACAAAGAGTTGGACACGACTAAACAACATTGTACACACAGCTTAGTTTACCTGGTGGCTTTTAGTTTGGTGGAAATTATCAAAACACACACACACCATAACCTAGTTAGCAGAACCATTGCTTGAGATCAAAATAGGATTCTGGGGTTCTGAAGATCACAAGACAGATTGAAAACACAGTAATTTTTAGCTCAGGTGCAGTTATCAAGGTATTTATTAGCACAAATTCAGATATTAGAACCTCCTTCCTGGTATGAAAGGAAGGGGGTATCCCAGTTCCTCACTATTATCAATGAGATAATGTAAAAGGGGTCATAAAGCTTGCCTCAGCAGACTGGAATAAGCTTGACTCTAGAAATTTACAAGCCACAAAGGATCAAAATGCTTGTATTTTGGATGTCTGAAAGGTGAATGCTCTGAAAAGCAGATCAATCTGTAGTCCCTAAAGCTCAGGCTTTTCTTACGTATAAATAACCAGAGTCTTTCTCCACAGTAAAAAAAAAAAAAAAAAAAAAGGGTGAGAGATCTAAATCAAAATGTTATCTGAATGCGCCTCTTTTTGTTACAGAAAATGGGAAAAGGGAGGAATTTGTTGTTGTTTAGTTTTTTTAGGGAGGAATAGAACAATACAAAAAGGCAAAGGAATTCTTCCTTACATGAAATGATTCATTTCCACAGCAGTTCCCCACCACCACCATCACCAAGGGAGAGAAAGAAAGAGGGTGTTCTAGCATATACCAGTCTGCACATATAATAACAAAGAATGTAGGTAGAATGGGAGACCTATGGAACTGCATGCACATTTTGCCTAAAGAGCAGAAGCGATGAGAAACGGAAGAGTCAAATCCACAGACAGTGGAAATGGCTAGTATAAGATTTTGACAGCAAAAGCACAGGGTCACTCTGGGTATTAATATCAGTGGTTAAGACCTGGCGCACACAGGATTTTATTATTCATATACCCACCAATTTCTGACCTTTCAACCAAAATAAACTCTCCATTGTTGATGGGTTTAACCCAGACCTGTAACCAGCCTTCCTTGTCAGGGGAAAACTGTGGGGCAGTTCTATGACCTGGCTGAGGCTGCTCTATTACGATTAGGACATGGTGTTTAAACAGTGGCACTGGTAGTTTATTGTGTTGTAATCATAAATTGTGTATTCAATGTATCTTTGGATGTAAAATTAGCGCTAATTGGAATCACCAAACACTGATTTAATATTTTCTTTCTTCCATCAAATAGTCTATTAAAGGTAAAGGGACCCCTGACCATTAGGTCCAGTCATGACCGATTCTGGGGTTGCGGCGCTCATCTCGCTTTATTGGCCAAGGGAGCCGGCATACAGCTTCCGGGTCATGTGGCCAGCATGACTAAGCTGCCTCTGGCGAACCAGAGCAGCGCACGGAAACGCCATTTACCTTCCTGCCGGAGCAGTACCTATTTATCTACTTGCATTTTGACATTCTTTTGAACTGCTAGGTTGGCAGGAGCAGGGACCGAGCAATGGGAGCTCACCCCGTCTCGGGGATTCGAACCACCAACCTTCTGATCAGCAAGTCCTAGGCTCTGTGGTTTAACCCACAGCGCCACCCGCGCTTAGTTGGTGTGCAACTTCCTCAAAACTAGTTGTATATTCTGTTCTGTTTGTGCAAAGACAATGTTGGATACATTCCTACCTCTTTTTCTTGAATTGTCGCTTCATATGCACAATATTGTTTCCTTGTCAAATTTAATCTTTTAATTGTCTTTAAGCATATATTAAAACATTTTTCATTTGGCTATTGATTGTTTCTGTAAATCTCATGCTTTACAAATAATATAGGTAATTTTGCTTTGTTTGGAGTTGAAAGTATCTCAATTGATTCCACATTTATTTGGACTTAAATCCTGTCCAATCCTGGAGGATCAGAGCTGGAGAAATTCTGTTTCTTGAAAGAGAAAAACAACAACCCAGTAAGACTATTGTATATATTGATATTTTAAATGAAAATAATGTCCTTATGGACAGACAAGGCTCTCTGTAAGATGACATAATATGCAAGCCTCTTGAAATGTGTGTCCCTTAAAAAAAAATAGGTGAGTGCAGAGTCCAGGTTCACCAAAGAATAACACGTTAGCGTGACATCTGCCATTTACATATGATGAAATGAGTAAAGGCTACTCAGCCGTGAATAAGGCCAAACTGTTCACTGCCGTTTCTTTAGAAGCACAGCCTCAAATTAGTCAACTCGGACTGAGAAGAGCCCCCCCCCGCCCCCACCTTTCTTTTTTAATTTTCCAGGCAAATAGAAAATTCTGGCCAGAAATCCTCTTGCTCTTTCTGGCCATAACAGGAAGTTGTAAAAAGCACATGGTGCTGGAGGAATATCAGAGTACAAGGGATTTACCTTGAATAATACCATGTGACTCCACACCAACCCCGCTCTGCTGATCTGGATTATGTC